GAAACTTGCGTTTATGGTAAATAGTTGTCCACCCCAGTCCACTACGACCTCTATTGGGCAGAAGTAGCCATTCTCCCGAAGATACATGACTATTTTTCAGCGAGTTGAGACTTGTAGCTCAGATACAAACCATGGTGTCGACAGTTCAAATCCCCCCTCACCCACAACTGGACCATAAAGCAAAGGACCTTTCTCTCTATGGATAAGAAAATCATAATCGGGATAGGAATAGTGGACCAAAACATGGTCCTCATTTACAATGTGGTCTAAAAGCTCTCTATAGTATTATTTGTTTATTATTGTATGTTAATCAACAAGGTCTTATCTAATTGGCATACTTGATTCTTTCAAGTTTTTCTTAATTAAAAGGTCAAGAGGTTAATCCTTATCAAAGGTAAGAACTAATTTCTCACGTCCCGCCTCGTTTAGGATTCTATTGTGCCCCTCTTTTGGGCTTCTCTTCACCCACTAATGGGTGTTTTTCATCTCCTATAAATGTTTTGTTCTAAATTACTCCCTCCGTTCCTAAATATCTATCGTTTTACATAATTTTTTTTGTTCCATAATATCTGTTGTTTTATAAAACCAAAGCATAATTAATATTTTATTTTTTCAAACTTACCCTTAACTTTTCAATGCATTAGATTAGGTGGAGGCTAAGTGTCTTTCATATTTTTTTCCTTTCCAATACATATTGAATAAGAGTATTTTAGTCTTGTGTAATTATTTTTTACTCATATTACAGCTATTTAATAGTTTCCTTAATCCCTGTGCAAAAACTTTAAACGACAGATATTTAGGAACGGAAAGAGTAGAATAATTGACTGTTCACTATTTATATGTATAAACATACACTAAACTTAGAAGGATGGCAACAGTTGTGGATAATATTGCTTAGTTACCAGAAAGGGACAAAAGAAAAACATATGGTTTTCTTCACCTCAACTTTCTTGGAATTATTTGGGTGTCTCATGTATTTTTCTTCTTTGAAGTGTTCAGTCCATGATGATGGAATCAATTTTTGGGCGAGTTTGCTCAAAGATGATTTCGTATGCCCTTTCAGTTGGATGAAAAGAATCAAAAAATACATAGTTTGATGCATTACTGCAGACCAATGAGAGTGGATTGCAGAAAATTGTTGTTTCAATGAGACCAGTCCCACAACAACCCTTGTTCACCTCCTCAAAACCTGCAAAAGGATTATAAACAAATAAGATATACAATAAATTTGGAAGTTATTAGTGCTGCAAATGAAACCGCGCTATCCACAAACTGTTCAGGATTGGTTCAAATAAAAGATTGTTAATGTTCATTCATTTATGAAAGGAATCAAGCTTGAACTCAATTCTAACACTTGTTTAACAAATGACTTATTTGTTACAACACGAGCCAGAACTTGAGTTCCAACTCAAGATTGATTCGTTTAATCAGATAAGCCAAATTGAGTCAACCCAGCTTGTGAATATATACGTAAATAAGCTGAGCTTGATCATGAACATGAGTTTGAATTCAAGTTTAATAGTGCAATAAACTCAAACTGGGTTGGTTTACCCACATGAGCCGGGTCAAGCCAAGCCTAAGTTTGGAACAAAAAAGCACTGACAGGAGATTGGACAAGATGTTTGGAACTTGTCACGATCTCAAACCACTCCCGAACATTCTTTGTGCATAAATAAATTGAGATACTCAAGCCCAAACAATTTTGTAGTCAGCTCGATTCGGTTCATTTATTTACACTCCTACAAGTCCTACATGTTATATATAAAGGTGAAAAAAAATGTTGTACTCACTATAATTGTGCCCTTGGATCATGTCCAGCAGTGGTCCATATATGTCAACATACGCAATCTTAGCACCAACCTTGGCGAGTCTGCTTTGCATGGCCTTCAGTTCATTCTCAAGAAGTAAATTGCAATCCCTCGAAATGGAGTTGAAAGCTTCGTTACAAGTACGATTTTGAAGGCTGTTATGAGAGAATAGAGTGATAACACTAGGCAAACACCCTAGTGGTGGTAGCCCATACACTCCGATTCTTCGAGCCCCTTCATCCCACAACCCCTGCAAGGAGTAAGAGAAAATCCAATATACATTATATAGATCTGAAAGGCCCCAGGAGACTCTGGAGGAAGCCTACATAGCCAAATAAAGAAATATAATCATTCTAGTAATCAAGAAAATAGAAGTTGAAATTATCGCGTAGAATAAAATACACACCGAATTATACTTTGACTTTCTATACTATGTATGTTCCCTCGACAATCACGTTTCTCACATTATAGTTCCAGTTGTGTTCATCAGTTTTACAATGCCTGATTACCGGCTTTTATTATAAATTGGATGATAAGTTGTGTCAGTTTACCTCTCAAACTATGTAATTTTGTTTCACATTATTTCAAAATTTAATTGCATATAAATTTTTTCGTCCAAAACATAACAATCATATGCTTTCGTTGGAATGTAGAATCAATTCAAGTAATATGAGAAAGTCAATAATAGAGAGCATGCAGTGAGATAAAATAGTAGTTTTGACGGTTCATTAGCTACTTTGAATCATGCTATCATAAGTTATATATTGTACAGATTTGTTTAGGTTAAAGAAAACACATTGCTTGACAGAATGGTTGTTGGGACAAAACCTGCAGGATAAATCTGCGGATATGTTTCACCAAGAACTGCTCGTAAGCCGGCAGAGTGAAGCTTTCCTGACGAGATGGCGAGCCGAAGCCGAAATAAGTGAAAATAAAGTCATCGCCACCAGCACTCACCAAAAACAATGCCTTCCTCATATGATCCTCCGTTTTATCCTTACCAATCTGGTGCTCTAGTTTGGATTTGTACTCTCTCAAGTACTCCACTTGACTAGGCATGGACATAGCACTCTGAAGTCACAAAAACCCAAACTCTTCACAATGTAATTGTTTATTTCAATAGGGGCCGATAATAGAGTCAAACCTTGCAAACTAGTTTTTTTAAATTAGTTTAAAAAATTTATTAAAATTATTCGGGCGCGACTCGTTAACTTAACTTGATTATCAGCCCTAATTTTGATCAATAAAAAAAATTATGATTTTATAGATGAAGTGTTTAACGTAAATGATAAAATAAAAAGTTGGATATAGTTTGTGATTCTTTGGAGAATCCTGAAATATTTTCGAATTTTTTAAACAATTTGAATAGTTATTTGAGTTTGCACATTGAAGTGTTTTGTATCAAATCAAATTTTTCACGCAAATTTGAGTTTAAAATTGAGCCATGGTTGATGTTCTAACACCCCATACTTATTATAAATTAATACTATATCATTATCACGAAAAATTCTAATGCAAATCTCATGCTGTGGTATCATGTTAAATTACAAGGGCGGGTCAATGGCATAGTCATTGAAGCCGCCGTTTAGGTCCCTGAATTTTTAAGATCCTATTTTAAGTAGGATTAAAAAAAAATAATGTGTTTTTTAGAATTTCAAATAAAATTTTTATATCAATATTTAATTAAGTCTAATTTTATATTTAGTTAAAAATGGGTTCCATATATTAAGTCTAATTTTATTTTTAGGCCTCGAGTAAAATTTTTAAAACTTATGTTCAAGTAAGTTCATTTTTATTTTTAGGCCTCCCCAAAAGAATTTGAGACTTACTTGTGAAGGTTTTGTTTTCTTGAGGTCAAGGGTTGAAGTCTCCTCTCCCATCTCCCTCTCCCTCCCAAAAAAAAAAAAATTCATAAGTCCAAATTTATTTTTAAAGTCTCAAGTAAAATTTGTATACTCATGCTCAATCAAACCCAAATTAATTTTTTTTGGGCTTCTAAGTATTTGTAGGCAAAGAAATTAGTGTCGCATTAATGTAAGGTTCTAGAAAACATGATAACAATACTTGAACACAAAAATATAATATATATGTTTGCATCTCAAAAAGGCAATAACATAAAAATATTGTATAATAATTTAAATTTTAAAATTTATTTTAAAATCAATAGAGCATCACTTAAATTTTCGCTTTAGACCATGATGATACAAAAATTAGTTTTACACACCACTTGTTAAGTAATTAATGCATATAATAAAATAGAGAAAAAAAATTAAACATAAACAACACACAATTTAAGTAGTTCGGTCAAGGTGACCTACTCCACTTTGAAGGACTAGGATGACCTGGGTGTTTTATTGATGTAAGAGTGTAAGGAGATCAGATGAGAACAATGAAAGCTTAGGTGAGAGCAATGAGAGCTCAGGTGTGATCCCTTGTGTGAGATGCCCCCCATATATAGGTGGGGCTTACATTTTATAATCGTCTCCTAACAGATTGAGACAACTTATCAAAGCTAATTTGGTGGAGGTGACGTCATCTTCGCAATGGATGAAGCTGTTGCAGGGCTCTCCTTAAGACCAGGTCTTAGGATAACGTGATTGACTTCCTTGTTCCTTACTCCAAGGTGGCGTGGATTAGACTCTTGGAATGGCGTTGCCTACTCCTTTATAATGTGGCTCTTGGAGCTTTAATGAGCCTGACTAAGAGTGGATCTCTTTTGGGTTGGACCCATTGGGTTTCGTATAAGTGGATCCTTTATTTAAGTTGGGCCCACAGCCTAAGTTAGGTCTTGGTCCGGACCCATCATTTGGCTCCCCAATGCCCCAAGTCCAATAAAACTTGGAAAATATGACATTTACTTGGATTTGGATTGACGAAGACTCCTTTTGAATGATGACCCATTTTCCTTCTTGATACGATTCTTTCCCATAAGACATTCCTTACTACAAAAACTCTAGCCAATTCAATCACTGGCTAGATTTTTTTAAAAATCCTAGGCTATAAATAGAGGATTTTCCCTTTCTTTTCATTCCATTCGCCCTTGAGAGAGAACTTCTTGGGAGATGACCATGAGTGGTAGCATGTTGAGTGAGGTAAGAGAGGTTACCCGTAAGCTAGGTGACCGGAGACCACTGTCAAATGAAGGAGGGGAGATACAAGAAGCCATTGACATCGGATAGGAGGTAGGCAACGATGGAGCAATCGGTGTCGAAGCTGGCGCGCAGACATGCGTCAACAAGGCAGCAATGGCTGTTGGGCATGGAGCTGCGCAGGTGTAGGAGGAAAGAACGCCAGGAGTTGGGTGTCAGGAACTGGGCGCTAGGAACAAGGCATCTAGAAAGGGCACTAAGAAGGGGTGCCATGAGACTGGGTGCCAGGAGCAGGGGTGCTAGTAGCCAGGAGTAGGATCCAAATCCTTAATGTTGGGAGTACGCAGGCCTTGTTTGCACTAGGTGTTAAGTGCGGGAGCGCTGCAACAACAAGGCGGGTGGTGTCGAATGGCCGCAAAAAGGATGAGGCCCGATTATTGACATTCAATCTAATGTAGTCCCTCAGTTTGCCGACAGCTTGAGTTTTAAGAGCGTGCCTAGAGATGGCAAAAATAATGTTACTCCGACATCAAAATATCCAAAATAATTACCTGGAGAGAGAAAGGCAAATACATCGGGCTATAAAGAAATAGAGGCTGCTTGTGTAAGAGCAAGGACAGAGTTTGAGGATTGCTCATGAGATAGTTGCACCTCTTCAGACCGAGCTTTTGGCGACCCGTGAGAGAGTCGTTAAGCTGGACGTAGGCTGACTATAAGGCTACCTACATGAGAGTAGAGGTAGAATTTGAGGGTTACTCGTGAGAGAGCTGCACCTATTGAGATCGAACTTTTGGCGACCTGTGAGAGAGTCGCTAAGCTGGAGGTATAGGATGTCTGCTTAAGAGCAGAGCAGAGATAGGTCAAGTTTTTGGCGACCCGCGAGAGAGCTGCTAAGCTGGAGATATAGTTTGTCTACTTGAGAGTAAAATAGACATAGGCCAAGTTTTTGGCGACTCGCGAGAGAACTGCTAAGCTGGAGACATAGATTGTCTGCTTGAGAGTAGAGCAGAGATAGGTCAAGCTTTTGGCGACCCATGAGAAAGCCGCTAAGCTTGAGACATAGACTGCCTACATGAGAGCAAAGACAGAATAAGGTCAAGCTTTTGGCGACTCTCGTGAGAGCCGCTAAATTGGAGACATAGGCTTCCTGCGTAAGAGTAGAGCAGAGATAGGCCAAGTTTTTGGCGACTCTCGTGCAAGCTGCGAAACTAGAGATTAAGATGTTTGCATGAGAGCACTATTGGGCGCTACTAGGGGTTGGACGTTATCTGTTGGGCGCTAGGCACTGTCTATTGGGTGCTAGACACTGTCTGCTGGGCACAGGTGCCGAGTATTATCCGTTAGGCACTGTCTGCTAGATGTTGTCCACTGGGCGCAACAGCTGGGTGTTGTCTGCTGGGTGCAACCGCTGGGCGCTGTTCATTGGGTGCAACCGCTAGACATTATCCGCTATGAGTTGTCCATTAGGCGCAGACGCTGGGTGTAGTCCGTTAGACACTATCCGTTGGGTGCAGGTGCTGGACATTGTCCGCTGGCGCAAGTACTAGCATTGGGAGTTGTCCATTGGGCGCAAGTACTGGCACTAGGTGCTGGTTACCCGCAAGGATGCGGGCAACACCTTGGAGCAAGGGGTGACGCCAAGGCCAGTTATGTTAAGCCCTAAGGCGGGTTGACAAAGGGGTACGTCAGGGCCGATTTGGGCGACACCAGGGAGGCCTGGGCATAGTCAGGAGAGGGGGCACACATTGGGTGCTGGCCAGAAAAAATGGCAAAACTATGAAAAAATGGCAAAACTTTGCTCTGGATTGTCCATTTGAGGCATTGTTTTTTTTGAATTTAGGTTTTTTTTAGATCTACGACATATAAGTTGTCGAAGGCATTTTGGGAAACAAATTTCCTCAAAAAATGCTCTTTCTCTCTAAATTTGAGTTTTTAACCCCAAATTAGTGAAAAAAATAGATTTTGCATGTGTCTACTTTTCGCCAGTGGTGGCAAGAACTCGTCCTGATGTGGCAGATCATCTTCTACTTGGTGGTTTATAGATCTAATTGTTCTTGCCATTGGAGGTAGAAAGACTATGAGGAGAGAATTAAATCATTTTTCACAAATGACGTCAAACTGATGATGTACAAATTGGATTTACGCACGACCTGTCAAATAATTAATGCAAATAATAAAATAAAGAAAAAAAACTCAACACAAGCAACACATAATTTAAGTGGTTCGGTCAAGGTGACCTACTCCACTGTGAGGGGCTGAGATGGCCTAAGTGTTTTATTGTTGTAGGAGTGTAAGGAGATCAGTTGAGAACAATGAGAGCTCAAGTGGGAGCAATGAGAGCTCAAGTGGGAGCAATGAGAGCTCAGGTGTGATCTCTTGTGTGAGATGCCCCTCATGCGTAGATGGGGCTTACATATTATAATCGTCTCCTAACAGATTGAGGCACCTTAACAGTAACTAAAAAACTAATTTGGTGGAGGTAGCGTCATCTTCACAACGAATGAGGCTGGTGCGGGGCTCTCTTTAAGACTAGGTCTTAAGATGGAGTGGTTGACTTCTTTGCTCCTTACTCCAAAATGGAGTGGATGAGGCTCTTGAGATGGCGCTGCCTACTCCTTTATGGTGTGGCCCTTGGAGCCTTGATGAGTCTAACTAGGAGTGGATCTCTTTTGTGTTGGACCTATAGAATTTCTTATAAATGGATCATTTATTCAAATTGAGTCCACAACCAGAGTTGGGTCTTGGTCCGAGCCCATCAGACCTCATTTTGTGTCGTCCTTGAGCCATTATATGACATTGGTATTTATATACTTCAACACACAATAAATGCTAGATACAGTAATTAGATCATTATCAACTTTGTAAGCTTTATGAACATATTTGAGAATAGGACGTCATCATCATTACCCCATAATCTGTTGGCCAAGATGATGGTATACTTGGGAAGAAAAAGATGACATTTAGAAACATGGGAGCCAATATAATTTCACATAGAGAGAGAGAGAGAGAGAGAGAGAGGACATTTAGAATTGGCGTAAGAGGATCATATCCTGAGCCAGCAGAGGCAAAACAAACTCCAGTCTCCATGTCTTCCATGCTAAGCATCGGATCTACATAGGGAGCTGGGTACTTTTCAAAACCTAAATATGAAGCTGCATTTAAACACCAACAAATCAACACCGGTCAATCATGTCTATAGATAAACTTCAACGTCACCCATCTTCCTTTCAAATAAAAAATATGCAATCTAAACCCACACAAATTGGTTCAGCGATCAAACAAGGAACGAATTATAAACTGAGTTCGCGTTCGTTAGTCATATAAAACCTAAATTTAACCAATGCAAATTGTTTATGGGTTATTGTGTACATCTATGTTACGTTACAATCATGAGTCTAAATAACACGTGGTTGGAATGATTGTCCATTAACTTAAAAAAAAAAGAGTGCAATCTCAACTTACAGATAAAGTCACTAACAAGCCGGCCATTGGAAAACCTTCCGGTTGGTTTGTGGTCGACAAAATCTCTACCATAAGGTTGGAAGTTGGCTTTAGCCAGTGTCAATATGAAGTTATTGTTTCCAGAATCAGCAGAAGAATCTCCAAACACAAATAAGGCTGAGACTGAGGTGTTAGAAATCTTCTGCTTGGTTAGAACTTGTGCTTGAGCTCTATGAATGAAAATGAACACTAAGAAAAATAGATGATGAAGGGCCAGAGAAATATTGGAAGAATTCATATTAGCTGCAACTGATGAGATTACACTAATATGAAATTGCTTTTGTGTAATAATTTTTGTCTTCATACTTATGATGAATCTGGTGATCATACAAGCTGTGGCGATGAAGAATTTATGACAAATTGACGGATGCACTACATGCATGACACATAAACATGACAAATTTGTTGGTTCTAATGTACCCTCTTTTGGGCTGCTCTTCACAACGTGGCTGGAGTTTTCTTCTCTACTATGGATAGATGAATTGTTCGAAGTGGTGATAATTGATTATTCATTGAAATAATGATCTATTGATATAGATCAAGAAAACTAAATAAATAAACCAAATATTTCAGAATGTAAAGTATAATTCGCCCTTTAAATAATGAAGTTGATATTCAATCCGAATACTCCTCGTATAATTAACACCCTTGATTAATAGGGACCAAAATGAGTAATGACATTTTTTCTTACTGTAGATAGCAGAAGTAGCAATCTAATAATTAATGGTTGTATTCAGTGGGATAAAAGAAAAAAGAAGGAGAAGAAGAAAACAAGTTATTGACATGAACAGGTGCATTCATGACCGTCCATGGCAATGATCATTTTCATGTTATTCTTTATGGCAATATCAATGGTGGGTCGTAAGGCCTTGAAGATAATGTAGTATGCTGCTTCATCAGTTGGGTGTATTGCATCCCACAACACGTACTTGGAGGAATCTGAGCAAACAGGTGATATCGGGTTGCACAGAATGAAGTTTCAATTACAACAACCGGTGCTAACCTCTTCAAAACCTACACAAAGTAAAGAAAGATCAACCGTTGGTTTTCCCAGGTCTAAGGTGATTTTTGTGGTTGCACACAGATGGTGTAAGCAAAGCAGCAGCAGCAGGGGCGGAGCCAAAAATCTTGTGCGGTGGGGCAACTTAGACTCGTCAATAAATTAAAATTATAATTTTAGTATTATTTTCATGAAAAAAATTAAATTTTAATCATTTTTATAAGTATAGTATCATTAAAAAATGTGATGTGAACCCATGTTAAGGGAAGGCACAACCTATATAATGATGTACGGAAAGAGCCAACCAAAAAATTAACCATCTTTAAATGTTCAATTGAACCGAAAGTCTTAGATTATCATTGTCAATTGAGGAGAAAAATGAGAGAAAATAGGATTGAATCATTTACTTGATTTGTCGAGGTGTAAGGAAAAATTGGTGCTCAAGCTAGTAGATTTAACCCCTTGAGAGTAAGCTTTATTGCTCACTAGTCTAATTGCACTTGCTTATTGATGTGGGCAAAATTCCAGGCATAGGCCTCCATGGCCCAGAAGCCTAGCAAGCCCAAAATGCCAAGGCCAGAAAATAAAGACTCAGCATTAGCAATAGACTTATAATTTGACAATTCAGGCCCAGCCAAACCGATGAGCAACCTAAATGTTGAAAGCCTGGTCCAAATGCCATTCTTGGGTGATTCGTGGGGACCACACATCCTAAGAACTCGGGGACCACCCTTGACACCTACGATAGTTTCAGAGCAGAGAAGATGGAGGGCATAGCCACCAAAGATCGTGGTAATAGAGAAGTCGGATGAACAGTAGCAACGGTGGCAGAGGGAGTAGCAGGGTGCAGAGGGAAGGACTCACAGGATCAGCACCAAGAGAAGAATAATCAAAAACCCTTGGAAGATCTTAGTATAAATAGAAAATTGTTACCCAACGAGAGGCTCTCTCTTCCCTATCCCACGAGCATTCGCGAACTAAGGAGAGCTAGTAGATGAAGCAAAATATTCACCCCTTGTAAAGGACTTCGTGTCCGCAATTTCTCGATATACACCTCAGGTTATATAATATACATTCTGAAGTAGCAGGAGACTCCCTTGATAGTGGACGTAGCCTTAGCCCATCGGCTAAGGTGAACCATTTACGTTTCTCGTCTCATTGATCACTACCAATCAACTTATAATCCATTTAACCCATGTAGAACTTCACCATCTCACCTATGGGCTTGGGCTGTAAAATCCAAGCCCCATCAGTTATAAGTTGATTGGTAGTGATCAACGAGACAAGAAACCCAAGTGGTTCACCTTAGCCCATCTAGAACTTCAACATCTCACCTATTGGGCTTAGGCTGTAAAATTCGAGCTCCATCAGTTGGCGTCATCTGTGGGAACAATTTTCATCGTTTCTCTCTAAATTTTAGTCGATGGTCTCAACTCGGAACATGAGTAGATCTCACGCTAACCCCCAAGTTCACCAAAACATGCCGGAAAACTATCCGGCACCCGAAGAAGACATCGAGGGTCACCCCCAGTGGTGAACCTGCCTCCACTTAACAAGTTGGAAGCGTACCGCCAAACCACGATACAACTAATAAAGCAGAACCAGGAGCTAATGGAATGGATACAAACACAACAGCTCCCTCGGTTCTTGTCTGCGCATCAGGAACCTCCTCCACCCCAAGCCGAACACGACACCCCTCCTCAGGAGCGCCAAGCTCCCCCTATTGGAATAACAGAGCTCCACAAGCATAGCCATTCTAAAGACAACCAACGGAGAAGACACCAGGAAGAGCACGACGAGGACGAGGCCCACAGCAAGGCCAGAGCCGCTTACCGAGAAGACAGAGCCCACCTTCTTCTGGATGCTATGGATCCCTTACTAGAACAAAAACTCCGCGAGCTCCAGCGAGAAGTGGGTAACATGAAGGAGGCGGTCAAGGGAAAGACCCTCGATACCATGGATGCTCTGGTCCAGCAAACCAAGTCGCCATTTGCTCCCGAGGTCCTCTATTTTCCCCTCCCCCAAAAGTTTTGGATGTCATTGATAGAGGCGTTCGATGGAACCAAGGACCCTGTCGACCACCTAAACTCTTACAAAAATTAGATGGAGCTTCAGGGTTATCTATATCCAATCCGCTGTCAGGCTTTCAACATCACCCTCAAGGGATCGGCGATAACGTGGTTTAACAGGCTACAACTTGCCTCAATCTCCTCCTTCAGGAAGTTACCCATACAGTCCATATCCCACTTTATAGGAGCGAGGACGTACAGGAAGCCATCCTATCATTTATTGAGTGTCAGACAAGGACCCATCGAGTCCCTCCAAAGCTATGTGCAACGCTTCAACCAGGAGTGCCTCAAGGTGGAGAGTGTGGATGAAAAATTTGCACTAACCACCTGCATGTCTGGGTTCGGGATTCAGTCCAAGGACCTCCTTTTTTCGATAGCAAAGAACCCATAGGCTATCATGGCCGTGGTGTTGGCGAAAGCCAAAAAATATATCAACGACGAAGAGGCCCTTCGCCTGAAAGGGGGCTAGACACCAATAGATGGAGACAAGAGAAAGAGGGACCGTAGTCCTAGGAATGAAAGGAAACATGAATGATCCCTGACAAGGAGAGGCAACGTCCAGGACCGCCTAGGGCCCCCGCCACAAGACCTACAACCCAAATTTATCCCAGCGCAGCTATCACCGTTGGTCACATCCATCGCGCAGGTCCTTCACGAAGTTCAAAATGAGAAGTTCGTCCGGTGACAACCTCAAATAAAATCTGATCCGAGAAGGAGAGACGCCTCCAAATACTGTGAGTACCACAAGGATACAGGCCATAAGACGAATGATTGCATTCATCTTAAAAAGGAGATTGAGTACCTGATCCATAGGGGACACCTATGCCACTACGTGAGTGTGCATAGGTGAGGGTTCAGTCGTCGCTGCATTTGACGAGAGGGTTTTGAATCCTCTTTTAGATATATGGCATGATTGCAGATCAATGGGCTTATACTTTTCAAGTCAGCGATGGTCCACCCAATGGTGCTTTTATGGCTTTTAAGAATTTCAATCATTTTAGACTCGTGCAAATCTGTGAGCTTAGCTGAAATTACCACTGGATATGACTCGTCATCTCCTAGGAATGCATATTTGAGGTTAAATGGAAGAGATTTCAGTTCAGGCTTTGGTGACCGGACACTTGATGAGAGTGGCTTTATGCCACTTGGTGAAAGCTCCTCAAATTTGGGGGCTCATGTCTCAACAGCATGAGTGGGATAATTCTTTGGATCATCATTTATTGTCTTAGATGTAATGGGTTCTGATAAAGAAAGTTCAGTGGAATTTTCACAGAATGTGTTATTCAGATGTTCCTGAACCAACGACTCAATGGAATTTATTTCTCCCTCTTCTTTGTCTTCTCCTAGGTGTTTGGGAACATTGAAAATATTTAGCTCAAGAGTCATATTCCCAAAGGTTAATTTCATGACCTCATTCCTGCAATTGATTAGTGCATTTGAAGTTGTTATGAAGGATCGTCCAAGAATTACGGGAATTGGGTTCTCTGAATGCTTTGTTGGCTGAGTATCGAGGACGATGAAGTCAACAGGGAATACAAAATTGTCCACTTGGACAAGTACATCTTCAACAATACCCCTAGGAATTTTAACAGATCTATCTGGCAACTGAAGTGTGACACTTGTGGATTTGAGTTCTCTCAGACCCAACTGCTGGTAAATAGAGAATGGAAGCAAATTGACATTTGCTCCAAGGTCTAACAGTGCTTGTTTGATTCTGAAATTTCCAATGACACACGACACAGTCGGGCACCCTTGGATCTTTGTATTTTTGAGGGGTTTTGTGTTGAAGCAAGGCATTGGCATGTTCTGTCAGGAAGGCTCTTTTTTGAACATTCTGACTTCTTTTGACTGTGTTTAAGTCTTTCAGAAACTTGGCATAAGATGGAACCTATTTGATTGCATCTAGAAGAGGGATGTTGATTTTTACTTGCTTAAAAAGCTCATAAATTTCAGGCTGATTATTCAACTTCTGTGCAGTTTTGAGTTTGTGAGGAAAAGGAGCAAAAATAGGATACGATGGTCCCTTTTCTTTTGATGGTTCTGAATCTTGTTCAATCACAAGTTCAAGCTCCTCTTCAATTACAAGTTTAGGCTCCCCAGTCTCAGGTTCAACTGGGTTAGGCTCAACTGGTGAGTTAACTAGGATTGACTTAGGTTTTGGCTTGGGAA